CCAAATAAATGTAAATATTGCACTTAGGTAAACAATTAACAAGGCAAAAAGAAAGACTGCAGGAGCGGTTCGGGCAATTCTGAAGCTGAATAGAAAAAAAATATTGGCACTTGCCTTGCCAGACTTTGAATCACATAATTTGTCTCTAGATTAATGTAAATAGGTATTGCACTTGAATAAAGTAAGCAGGTGAAAGGTTATGCATGTACCAAAATATAGGTCAACCTTTTTGTTTTTTTTAAACACAGCCAGTGCATTTTTTGAGTACCATAGCAACGAGGTGCTTACTGATGAAGACGAGTATGAACATTTCGCATGGTTAAATTGTTGGCATGGAATGGAAAGTAATGCATATAGGGGGTATTCACTGGACGCCATATTTGAGGGCGATGTTTAGAGCGCATGCTCAGAACGAGTTCGCATTAATAGCCTGCTAGGACCGACAATCTTGATGGTGCGGAATGCACGTTGCAAAAGAACTGCGGAAGCTCGCCGTCAGCACGCGCTCAGCAGCCGCTCACACAGATATGGCCGCCAGTGAATACTCCCTATGGTACAGTGTTCTAGTTGTAGTTGTAGTAGCAAGAGCGGCGTAGACGTAGTTGTAGTAGCAAGAGCGGCGTAGAGTAGCAACTACAACTGTAGTTGCTACTACAACTACAGTTGTAGTAGCAAGAGCGGCGGCCTCTTCGTGAAGATTTTGCGCGTAGACGACACCATGGCGCTGCTGTTCTGTGCCCTAGGAGCGCGCCCCCGTCAGCCCCATCATCAGCGCTGTTCGGCGCTTACTACTGTGGTTTGACTGGAGCTTTTCGCGGTGCGAAACGACTGCTAATGTTGTTCTGTATACTCTGTTTCACCTTATGATGTACCGAGGGAAAGGCTACAAGCGTAAGCTCCTTGCTCTGGGGCACATCTCGGCGGCACAAGCTCTCGTGAATTAAGAGCAGCTGCCAACGCTATGAGCTCGCGCTTCTAGCCTTCGCTGCGGCGCAACATAAGGTGAAACGAAGTATAGTACATTGTAGTTCTGCCTTTGGACTAATCCCTCTAGGGTGAGTGCTATCCTCTACTTGAAATATTTGCGTGTTTTGAGGGAGATTATTTAATTAATATCGACTCCCCCCCACCCAGTACTGACACATTGTTCAGCAACGCTGTCACTTGGGCTGCAGGGTTAATAGCTGCGAAAAAATGTTCTACGGTGCTACATTTTAGAGAAGCGTACCGCGTAACCCTCGTCGTCTTCTTCGTTCATCGCACACCACACGTGCCATTAATTCTCCTAGGGCACAGAACTCCAGCGCCACTCGCGATATCTACGTCAACCGTCTTCACGCGCTTCATTGTAAGCGGGCGCCACTCTTGCCACTACACCCTCTAGAACACTGTACCTATAGTATATTCCACTGAAATAATGTTAGAGTAAAATATTTTTGAGTACCAAAATTGGTGTTTCCTTTAAGGCGAAACGCGGGTCTTAAAATGGTAAAAAATCGCGAAATTTGGGGTTTTTCAAAAACCACATGTTTGGATAGAATATAGTCTGAAGTACCTGCCTGCGAAGTTTCAATGTCCTATTCGACGTCTAAGTATAAAAAAAACGATAAATACGATGCCTCCGCGACGCTCAAATCGCAAATCAAACGCAAAAAATAGTCAAACTGCGCGCCCGCGTCGCTTCACGACCGATTGTCGTGAATTCGATTCTTTCCACTTTACTTCATCAATTGACTGCACGATGCGCTAACTAACACGTCAGAGCTAACTAACACGTCAGAACAGACCAGGAACATGAGGAATACTGCGAAACTGATATACCATCGGTGTTTGATAAAGATCAAACACCGACAGTAGTTATCGTATAGTAGTATCTTATTCGAAGCTGTAATTGAAAGTTCCAAACAGTGACACAAGCCTACTGTAGCAATCCGCACGAGTAGCGGGGCCTGAGCCAGTATAGTTTCAGTATTAATACATAAAACAATTAATGAAGTGAAATTAAGCATTCTATAAACTTGATCCATGGGCTATGTTGTTAAATAGGTCGGCCTATATTCCAGTGAATGCAAAAGTAATTTTTGTGTCTTTTCTTATAGAACCATGCAAACCTTATTTGTGATACATGTGGTCTGTCTGGGTTCGCTCCTGCAGCCTTCTTTTTTGAAATTCATATGCAATTTTGTTCATTTCATGGAGAGCTGCCACCTGCTCTTCAGCTCCAAGAATCCTCAATTTGGCAGCAAGTGCCATGCAGTGAAAGTGGACACTGTCCACATTGGCTTCCCCTTGCTGCCGCCTCTCGTGGAGTTCCCTAAGCCTGCTGATGCAGTACTGCATAGTATCTTCACAGTTGTCATGTTTTCTGCAAATGGGAAGGAGTGTAAAGTATGTTTTTTTAACTCTTGTGATTGATTAAAGTGAATGACTGATTGATTTATGTTGATCCAAGAGCATAGCTTACTTAGAGTCCCTGGATGAAGACGACCGGGCTCTCTTTTGTTTTGGTTTCGTTGCCCCGACAGCTGACACCGCCACACTGTAAATAAACATATGCCAGGAGTAGCAACAATGTGTCTCGGGGAGGGAGGGGGACCTTTTTTTTTAATGTGAAACATTCTTTGGCTAGGTTTAAAGCGTGGCTGCGAGGGTCGCTGCGGATTGGTAAACCAGTGGGAGAGGAGTGAGGGGTATGTTGCTGATTGGTTAACGGGGAGGTCATGTGATTAGGAGTGCAGTGGGTTAGAAAGTTCTGGAAGATCAGGGTTATCATTTCAAATGTATACATGCCACGCATTAAATTATCTGATGAATGTAGGCGTCTGGGTGAAGAGACTAGACATGCTGCTAAATGAATTTTGCTTAACGTTTGTGGTGCTAGAACGTTTCACATATGCAACACAATTGCCTAGCAATTGATTTTCAATTGGGGTAACTCTGAAATTGTGGGCATGGCTATGGAATCCCAAAGGGCAGCTGCCATCTTGGAGCCCCTGGTAGTAATTCAAACAAAGTAAACATTACGCTGTGGAAGCCCACGGTTTCGATTTCCAAGCTCGATTTTTTCAATGAATTAATCATACTTATACTTGTTCCCATACAAAATTATGTGGATAGAGGACAACATATAAAGCCCAACAGTTGGTGGCCTGCTAGCCCTGTCTTGGGAATATATAGTAAAGAAATTATATATAACATGGCCATTTTCCATATATGTAATTGTTTAATAAATTTACAGCTACCACCATGCAAGTAATAGTGAAGAAATTCACTCTCTATGGTTGAATGAACACATCCTACAACCTCCGTTTCCTTTAGCTGCAAACCTTAAAACCATAAGAAAAAAAACAAAAGCTGAAGATTTAAAACATGGTTGAATGCACAAGCCTCATTAGCTTCAAGAGGATACAGAAAGTAATATGGCGAGACATACCCAAGATCGGCGTTCTCTACAGGAATGCTAGGATAAGGGAAGAGAGAAAGGGTAACAATAGGAATGCATGTGAAAGCCCCTGTCATATTAATAATTCTGAGGTGTATACTTCAAGCACTTTTCAGCTCACAGCTGCAAAAGCAACAAGTGCAAGCTATCCCACAATCCATCCTTTAAAATTAGCTAATACCATGCAAGCACTTCTTCAGAGATGCACATCTCAAAGCTGTGATCTGGTGCCTGTACAGGGGCGGATGCAGGAATTTCCTGAGGGGGGGGGGGGGGTCAGGTGTTGGTCAATGTACCATATGTTTAGGATCCCCTTCCCCCTCTCCTTCGTTTTATGCCCTAAATTTTACACATACAGAAATCAAGATGGGCGTCAGGACATCCGGACCGCCCCTCTAAATCCACCCCTGTGTTTGCATGCATGCAGCCTTTGCTGTCCTATAGGCCCAGGGGAAAATGGAACATAGAAAGTTTAACATAGTCAATTGGAAAAGGGCCTATGCATTTATCAGGCTGCCTTAGAGCAGAGGAACTTTTTCCTGCATGCGACAAGAATGTAGCAGATGGCAACTTGTGTACTAGATTTCGTCAGCATTGTCATAATTATACAATTATCCCGCAATGAACACACAAACTTACACATTAATGACCTGCTATTATATTTTGAAATAACCCTGTGACCACTATTTCAACCTTTTGAATCACTAGCCTGCAAAAGCATATGCAACAGAAAACGAGAACAGGGACTTTCGCCTAAGTAATCATCACTGCCACAAGGGGGTCACACGATATTCATATATATCACCTTCCTGCTTGACTCACCAAGAAACACCAGGCTGATACCATCCAGTGCTACTTGGTGAGCCAAACATTCAGGAACCTCCAGATTGGACTCAGAAACTTGTGTCGCAGTGATTACAACTCTTCGGCCACCTCAAAATTGCACGCTGTCTACGAACATTCCGGCGCCGCCCACATCAGGTGTGGGCGCTGCACCTGCACATAAACCGCATATACAGAAACAAGATTCACATAAAATGAAGTTTCTGCACACACACTGCCGATGGCAGTGCCACAGGAACAGGGTAATGTCGGAGCCATGCTGGTCTTTTACGAAACGCGGGAAAATTTCTGCACCACCCAAAAGATGATTTATAATATTTCAACACGAGAGCAAAGAACTATCGTGTGTGCACAGGATACAGTAAGAAAAGTAGAGGAAATATGTACAAACTTACATGTCATCGCCCTCTACAATAATCTCCTCAACGTCTTCATATGGAGGCTGATCATGATTGATGCTGAAATCAGGAGATGAATATACCCCCGGTGAGTGACCACACACTGCAGCTCTGCGAAAGTATCAACATAGATGGAAATAAAAACAAACTATCACAGAGGTTGGGGTCCATGAAGGGTTAGGGCGATTGCGGCTTTTTTTTTATAAAATATTTATTTCTGACACTATATTTCCGCCGCATTCTCGGACGCATGACTGCTATTTATCTCATTAATTTCATTGTAAGGCAACACAAGCCCATTCGGGTTGATCCGGAAATTAAACAAAGAGCACCAATTTCACAGCACTCACGGAGGACTTGGTGTTGTGGGGCTTGCCGTCGTGACGTTCGTCCAAACTGAAATTAATCAAGTAATGATCGCATACGTCCGACTAGCATACAGGGAAAATTGTAGCTTACCGTGCTTTCCCATTCCTGCTGTCGAGCAGAGCCCGCATTCGAGCGAAGTAGGCCCACCTCACTTTTGGAACTTCGCTGGCTCCTGCACCGCTCCGCCGTCTGTTCCGAGCATCAACTTGGATTCTGGTGTACTTGTCCCTCGCATTTTTTAATTTACTTTCCGCTACGTGACCTGTATCAAGGCGGCCCAATATTAAAACAAAGATGATCAATCGGTCATAGTCTACCGCCAATGCGAAAACTTTTCAACTTACCTTCCATGCAGAATTCCGATCCAATTATTTTCCAGATGCTTGATATTAGTGTTTTGTTCTTGTAGTCCGGATGCCGTTTATCGTATAATAGAGGGTAGTCTTCCACCAGATCCAGAAGAATCTCCAAACTAAAAGAGGGACCGGGTTTTGTTTCGCACGACATTTTTTGGCGCCTGCTGTCTGCTTCGTCTGCTTTGCGCGGGACGGCGGGAGGTGCACGGGAGAGCGTTCCCCCATCAATCCCTTACGGAAACCGAGCGATACGTCATGTCCTGTCGCTCTCTCATTGGCTGCGTCGAGGAAGAAATTGGGTCTTGAGGCGTCGTCTCCCTGCGTCGCCGTCCTCGCCGCGTGACTTTTTTTCAATACAAAAATAAGCAAAATATTCCCCCCACGACGCGCGTCTTTCCGCTGTGTGAATGCACCTTCACTGAGTTAACGCTAGCCGCTCACACAGACTTTTTGCTTTATCTCTGGTTTTCTTCAGGGCGACTTGCACCGGTCTAAAATTTTTCTCAATAGCTGCCATGGCCCTTTCGTTGCACAGGCCATCTGGCAACACGACAAAATGTCCTTCCTTATCAGATAACAGGACGTGTAGTCTATTAGTGACCATGTATTCTCCAAAAGGCCTAAACGGTCCCACTGGTCCTCTTCTTTGCAGAACCTGAAGGTTATCCACGCACTCAGAGATGCACCTTGGTCGGTCCTCCTCTACTGTCCGGTATACTACACTCTTGGCTAGTGTGACCAACCCCGGAGGGCTCATGACTGGCTTGTAGCAAAACTTAGAACCTACCTCCAACCGCTTGCCAACATCCGGTGGAATCGTTACATCACCTAGGGTTGTGAACTTGGCCGCCCGGGAGGGAACCTTGTCTTTCTTGGTTGGTAGATGGGGTCTAATGCTTTGCCAGAGGAACTCCGTAGCATCTCCCGCTGACTTGCTCATCCTACGGAAGTATCTTCGTTGTTGTTCATCATTGCCAGTACTCGAAGCACAGGCTACTCGCAGGCAGTCACTGAAATATCCTTCCTGGCGCCAGTATTCCGATCGCAGCACACGGCATAACCTTCTCGTATGCCCAGTCGATGGAGCAAGGAAGTTGCACACACCTCTGAGTTCCACTGGACAGGTACCTCTTCGAATGTGCCAAGAGGCCACCCGGGCACTACACACACACTGGGCGATTAGGTTAACAAGGATACATGGATCCGAGAAAGGAAGGTTAAAGCTTACAGAAGAAGTGCCCGATGCAAAAGAAATAAACTGCAGTAAAGTTGACATTTGGCCTAGTTGGTAGTCTAATATATTAAGGTATTTAGCGCACAAGGTAGAGAGAAGGACAGGACAGAAAAGAGCGCTACTTTACTGATAAGAAAGGAAGAGAAAGAAAACACCCAAATAATCCGCCGCGGACTCGTGCATCTGCCACAGCCCCGAGAATGATAACGGCTAGTTCATCCAGGCTCGTGCGGGCCCTTCATTGTTTGTTCAAGGTGCAAGTCGCCCTGAAGAAAACCAGAGATAAAGCAAAAAGTCTGTGAGCGGCTAGCGTTAAGCCAGTTAGCCACAAGAGTTGGGAAAGCGGAGCGCTTAAATCTGGAGGTCTTCTTCAGCGTAAAGACACATAAAGAGGCCTGTCCATTTAGAGCCATTGTCACAGAAAAGGGATCGTGGCAAAAGCAAGTTGCTTTCTATCTTCAAAAACAACTGTCCGCCTTAAGCATTAGAGACCCCTTCAGGGTTGCCAACTCTCAGGAAATAGTGGAACATCTCCGATTAGGGGGTCCTGAGAAGAGAACCGCTTTCAGCATTGACGTGGAAAATCCTTTTTACTCCTTGCCACACGACCAGCTACTGACCTCGGTGATGGATTGTACAGAAGCTAATGGAGAGCTCGCTTTCCGAAGTTCCAGCGGAGTACCCATTGAGAGCTTTATGGAGCTGTTACATTTCTACCTGGATAGCTAGGTTCGACATTGTACATGTTCCTTTTTTTAGTACACGGAAGTGACGTCATCACGTCGGATTGGTTGGAAGCAAAAGTGACGTAATTTCCCTAGAAACATGTGGGCGGAGTCGGCAAAACTGGGCGGAGTCGGTTACCGGACGTGACAACAAAGTGACGTTTCGTTTTGTACCGAGTAAGTTTCAAAAGGTACTTGCTCGGAACTAGGTGTCATTGGCAGTATGAATTTTCGGCGGCGAGGCGTCGCCGTCTCGTCAATTCGACTTTTTCTTTAATAGAGCTTTTTTTTCGCCGGAAAGGCTGTATCGGGAACACCGCGATGCATTCGAGCTCCCGGAGGAGATTTTTTGGAAGCAATACCGCCTGCCCAAGATCATGGTGCGGTGGTTGTGCGACGAACTTCGCGAGGAACTGGAGGTGAGGAGAGTGCGTACCTCGTGGACGGTCATGACTGTGGAGCTTCAAGTGTTGTGTGCACTGCGCTTCTACAACACGGGGAGCTTCCAAGGCATGGTGGCGAGCGACGAACACGTAGCGCAGGACCAAAAGACAGTCAGCGTTGCAGTCCGCGCCGTGTCCGTCGCTTTCGTGCGTCGTCTCGGGGTCCAGCGTGGCTGGATCCACTTCCCAGAGACGCCGAGCGAGAGGTTCGACACAGAGAGGGGCTTTAAGCTGCTTGGCAGGGTACCCGGCATCATCGGTAGCGTGGACGGGACCATCGTCTCCATCGTCGGCCCGTCCAAGAACGACCCCACCGTCACGAAGGCGGCGTACTGGTGCCGCAAGTACTTCTACGCCCTCAACGTGATGGTGGTAAGCACACCCATGATACGTTGTCAAAACGCGCCCCAAATCAATAGAAAAAAAAAATATGTATTGCCGATACGGTTTAGTATGCCATTTTATGACTGCGGGCTGTGAGGTCTCACGACTGCGCGAGCGTGTGCTCTACGTAGCATGTGAGCCGTGAGACGCTTCTCCCAAAAATAATATTTGTCTGTTAAAACGTGCAAGCTTCCGTAAAAAAAAGCATTCTTTTTGTTTTCAGGTAGTTAGTTGTACCTTGCATCCAGGAAGGTGTGTTGACATGCATGTGTCAGACAAAATAACTTAAAAGGTTCTGAAATTGCGACAGCTTTGTGAACCATAAGTACAATCTACTACTTGTTGATTCAGGTAATTACATGTCAATATCTCTCACTTTCAGGTGTGTGACGCCGACTGCCGGATAACGTGCATCGACCCACGGTATCCCGGGTCAGTGCACGACTCCTTCCTGTGGCAATTTTTCTGGCTACGAAACCAACTCGAGCAAGGGCAGCTGCCACGCGACGGCCGGTTCCTGCTTGGTGAGCATACTAAATTCATTCCTTACGCACACGGTGGCTCCCACTGCTTGAAAGCCACAGTACCACACGTACTGTGCTTGTTGTGAGGCACACAGACACAGTTGCTGGAACTCGTTGAAGTGAGACAACACCCAAAGTTTGGCCATTAATCTCTGTTTATGTCCACATAACTCTCACACTCTGCAGGCTACGAAAGCCACACTACACCAATCTCACGACAGTGATAGACTGCGCAAGGCATGCGACCGCAGTGCGAGTCGCTGTCCGGTTCGGCCCACTCACTGTTACTGTCTGGCTGTACCCTCTTGCTGGTTGGTTTTTGCATGAAGTTGGAGCTCTTTTGCTAATCCCTGGGGGCTCGCCTGGTCGCTCTGACGGTCGTCAGTTTGTACGGAATGGGATCAATACCTCCTTGGCCACTTGGGGCTCGCCAAATCTGTCCTCGGGTCGTCTCTGTCCCACACACTGGATTCTTTTCCCTGACCCTTCTTCTTCGGTCTGCCTATAGACCTTTGCAAAAAGAGCGCTCAGGCCGCCGCCATTTTACGAATCGAGCGACCCCTATCAGCCAGAAATTTCTGGCACCCGCCTGAGCTGTGGAAACCCGGCCAGCGTGACTGCCCACCTGCATTTTGCATTCGGAGTTTGCCGGCTTTTCTTGGAAAGTTTTACTTTATTCGCCTGTTTAGGATGCTTACCCTTTGTATGTTATCTTCCACTGTGAGGACCAGGGAATACCAGGGCTCGTAGCCCGCTCGGCCTTCGCAGGAAACGAACGAAGAGAGCGAACGTCAAGCAGCCCTCGACGCAGGCAGTTCGACGTGCTTGGAGGACTATTTCCGTCGAGATAATCTCCAAAAAGCCTTCCAGGCTGCGTTCCGGGTCTTCGCAAAAACTAGCTTATAGGGTCGGGTCCGGTGTGTGGCGACGGAATAAGCACGTTCGTTCATTTGCTATGAAGCTGTGCAAAAAAGGAGCTCTCTTCTACATGTTCCCCAAAACACGCCGAATTCCGTCCGATCGTCGTGAAGTGACTATAGTCGACACTAGGGAGCCTTCATGTGCATGAAGCCACCCTAGTCGACACTGTATATTGGATATGCTGTGTTATTTGAGACCTTTCTCAAATCCTGTTCGGATAATGCAGCACCGAGGGGTACGTACAATATATTTTTTGTTCGATTGATGAGACTCATTGAATTTTATGTTGTGGGCGGGGAATATCCATACAGTACGGATATCCTGTGTAGTCAAATATTTTGACATTTACAGATTGATACGGCTGGGTGTACGGTGCCGTAAAACAATGAACTTAAAATGAAACAAACATTCCAGTTGCATTTGTTCTGTCGCGCACGGACTCACCAAATCAGCTTTCATTTCCTTGTTTTTGTTCCCAAAAATAGAGCACTGCTTTCCTAAAGACCTCTATAAATTATGCTCGCCACAGAACACAGGATAAAAAAGAAAACGCGGCAATTCAGCCGCCACCAGCGTCCGGAATCGCGCCAACGCAGGCTGCCACAGCCCACTGACGAGAAACTCCACAGCTCAGCGCAGTCGGGCAACACTGACTTACACTCTCAAAACCAGGGACACGTGCTGTAAATCGCTTCGTTCGAGACTGCCGCTGGAAAGGTCTATATAGCTCCTCCTATTAGACCCTCCGTGTCCCAACAGGACCTGACTCCTTTCCAATCTAACCACCCCCTCTCTTTTCCCCATCTCCAACTCCCCCAAGGATTTTTTTATTTATTTATTTAAAAGTTCCCTCAAGGCCCGAAGGCATTACAGAGGGGAGCGGGTTACATCAATAGAATTCAACAACATACAATGAATAA